TCTACTAAAAATACAAAAAATTAGCCGGGCGTGGTGGCGGGCGCCTATAGTCCCAGCTACTCAGGAGGCTGAGGCAAGAGAATGGCAAGAACCTGGGAGACGGAGCTTGCAGTGAGCCGAGATCACGCCACTGCACTCCAGCCTGGGCGACAGAGCAAGATTTTGTTTAAAAAAAAAAAAAAAAAAAATTAAAACCCACAAGTGTCTTAGAGACCAGTGACAAATATGTTGTGCCCATGTTGTTCAGAAGGGTTCAGGGGAACCTGATGTAATTCGTGATACTGTATTAGGAAGTATACCTCCCACTAACAGCTCTTCTTCTTCAAATCTAGTCCAGGGATCCTTCCTCAAACCTCTAGAGCTTCTACTCCTTCTCGTGATCCTTCCTCACCAGACTTGGAGTCTTCTGCTGCACCTCTTCCATATCAGCCTGTTCACCCAACACTCCCAGAAGGGCCCAGTCTCGCTAGGACACCCACCAAAGCCAGAAAAGAGGCTACTCCCCCTTAGGGAATTAACTAACAAAGAGGCAGGGACCATTCGAGTTCACATTCTTTTCTCAATGTGAGACTTAGCCCAAAGACTAAGCAGTTACCAGTTGATGTTATGCATTGCAGGGGACAGCAAAGAGGGAACTCTACAACAACAACAACAAAAAAGATTAATTTAGCAAATGCAACTGCTAAACAGACTGCATCCCTTCCATTTGTAGTAGGGCTTCCATCCCAGAAACTACGGCTCCTGAGCTAGTGCCTGCAGACACACAAACTGAAAGGGAGTGTGCAACCGAACAGAGATATTCACAAGACCCTAATGATTGTGGACCCAAAATTCAAAATTTTTATTTTTATTGTTTAATTAATTTATTTTTTTTGAGACAGAGTCTCACTCTGTCACCCAGGCTGGAGTGCAGTGGCGCGATCTCTGCTTACTGCAAGCTCTGCCTCCCGGGTTCACACCATTCTCCTGCCTCAGCCTCCCGAGTAGCTGGGACTACAGGTGCCCACTACCGCGCCCGGCTAATTTTTGTATTTTTAGTAGAGACGGGGTTTCACCATGTTAGCCAGGATGGTCTCGATCTCCTGACCTCATGATCCGCCCGTCTTGGCCTCCCAAAGTGCTGGGGTTACAGGCGTGAGCCACCACGCCCGGCCAAAATTTTTAATACCTCAAAGTCATCAATGCAAATCAATCAAAGGGGGTTACACCTAGGAAGGGGCACTCTAACGCTTTGGTCACATGAGCCCTTAAGGGAACAGGCTTAGCTACTACTGCAAAAGCAGACACTAGAGCGAGACCACTTTACTCTATCGATAACCCAGAAGGGAGAATAAGGCCACTTCCATTACTGATGCCAGTACAGAAGAGAGGAAGGTACCCAGGGCAAGACTGGCAGTTACACCTTCCCTAAGTTCCACTGGTACAAAGATTTAAGCACTTACTAGTCTTTATAGATACTTTCATGGGATGGACTGAAACCTACTCCACCAAAACAGAAAAGGCACAAGTGCCTCTTAAAAGAAATCTTTCCCCGATTTGGGTTACCTAAGTCACTCCAAAGCAACAATGGCTCCTCCTTTGTTGCCAAAATAACCCAGCAAGCCACTACCACTCTCGGAGTAAGTGATCATTTACATGCTTCCTGGAGACCTCCGTCCTCAAGAGAGCCAGAAAAAGCTAATCATAAAGACGACTCTGGTGAAGCTCTGGCAAGAGACCTCCGAGTTCTTATTAAAGTGATTGCCTCTAGCGTTCCTCCAAGTAAGAGCGGCTCCCAAGACCAATCTCCAACCCAGCCCCTTTGAAATATAATATGGTCCTTTTGAGTCTTCACAGAGATGCCTTGTTACAAGGCATTAGGAAAATAGACCAGTGGAGATCCTGCCTGTGAGGCAGCTCAGATTCTTCTGGGGACTCATTTTATTAGTCAGTCTGCTCCAGATATTAAGAGAAAGTTACAAAAACTGGCTGTAAGTCCCCAGGCACCAACGAAAGAGCTACTTAATGTAGGCTTCAAGGTCTTCTATAACGAGACAGAGTAGAAGAGGCTAAAAAGTGAAAGAGGGAAGAGGCAAGAGACATACACCAGGCCTCTGATTATTGGCCCTCGCTATCAGAGAGAACAAGCCACCGTGTCCAGACCAAGCCCCAATCTGGGGACACCTGCTACACTTAAAACCAGGACACTGGCCCCAAAACTGCCAGGCCAAGGAGCAAAATGCCCAAAAGTCCACTCCACCTAGACCATATCCACAGTGCAGAGATGCCAGTCACCAGAAGCGGGACCGTCCCCAACTCCAGAGGGAGAGAGGAGCCTCCAGTTCCCTGATGGCCCTGACTAAAGACCGAGAAGCCCGAAGGCTAACACCAGCTGTCATTCAGTCCCCGTTACCACAGAGGAACCCAGTGACCCTGGACGTGGCAGGTGTAGCTAATTTTCTATTACATACAGGGACCAGCCTGCCAGTCCTTACCTTTTGCCCTTGACCCTAGTAGGCCAAACACTGCACTGCCACAGGAATTGATGAAAAACCCGGAACAGATACTTCACCCAACCTTTTTTTTTTTTTTTTTTGGAGTCTTGCTCTGTCTTTTGTAGAGACGGGGTTTCACCAGGTTGCCCAGGCTGGTCTCAAACTCTTGGACTCAAGGGATCTGCCTTTCTTAGCCTCTGAAAGTGCTGGGATTACAGGTGTGAGTCCCTATGCCCAGCCTAGAGGACAGTTTCCTTTTTTTTTTTGAGATGGAGTCTCGTTCTGTCACCCAGGCTGGAGTGCAGTGGCACGATCTCTGCTCATCTGCTCACTGCAAACTCCACCTCCTGGGTTCATGCCATTCTCCTGCCTCAGCCTCCTGAGTAGCCGGGACTACAGGTGCCTGCCACCACACCTGGCTAATTTTTTGTATTTTTAGTAGAGACAGGGTTTCATCATGTTGGCCAGGATGGTCTTGATTTCCTGACCTTGTGATCCTCCTGCCTTGGCCTCCTAAAGTGCTTGGATTACAGGTGGGAGCCACCGCGCCCAGCCACCCAATCTTTAATTTGCAGACTCGAGGACTTGAATGCCTAACTCCCTTATTGGGGAAAGCTTCCTACCCTCGTCGGGGGCTTCCTTAAAACCAATGAAACCAACTGAATCCCTTCTCATAGGAGCACTCTCAGTAGCCCAGCTGACTAGCATAACACACCACAGTCCAGAGAATCCAGGACATTGCCAGCTGGGTGCATCTCTCTAGGATAAAAATTGTTTCCCTTACGTTTCCACAGGACTCTTCATCAACAACTAAAGATCAAAAATCCTTTTGTAAGTCTATAGAAGACCTAACATTCATTTTCAAGAAAAGACACCAACACCCCAAATAAAGAGATTAAGATTACTTTAACGTAAGATAGTCCCATCTCAGGTCTCCTATTTGTAGGAGCTCTTTTTGTTCTTCTGCTTGCTGAATAATGATGTGATGCTTCATTCTGCTACCTTTCATGGGACCTAAAATAGCCATCTTATTACTACTGACCTTTGGTCCTTGCTTTTTAAGCTCCATGTAAAGTCTGTGTCTTCTAGGTTACAATTCCACGTCAGAGTGATAGTTATGCAAGGATTTCAACTTATCCCAGAGAAGGATATGACCCCTATCACTTTAAATCAAGCAGGAAGAGACTTTTGCGGGCCCTGGTCCTGTCTCAGCATGAAGCAGCTCCAGAAAAAATGACCCAGCCCTCCACAATTCATAAGAACATGGACCCAAAGTCTCCGAGGGGGAAAATGAGGTCGGTTAGATAGGGTGGTCACAGCCTCCTTTAAAGGGGAATGAACTTGCCAGATTGATGGAGAGAACAAACCGCCCACTGGTGCATGAACTACATCCGGCTCCTGGTCAGAACATCCTGCAGCAAAGAGGATGAACAGTAGAAGGGAAAATCCCCAAATTCACACAAGTACAGAAACCCATGATTAGAGTGTCCTTGGAATGACCTATGCTCATTTTAATGCTAAAAAACACACCCCTGGGTTAAGAATTAAAATGCTAATGAGACATGTGACTTGGTGTACTAGCATGCACACGCACATCCGGGAGATCCCACAACATGCTTAACAGTAACGCCCATTCCCGCTCCTTTAAGAATAATTGTGTAAATCTCCCATCAAGGGAAGCTCCTCAATGCCAGACAGAGCTATCTCAACGTACGTGTTTGTGTGTGTGTGTGTGTGTTAGAGATGGGGGTTTGCTCTTTGGCTAGGCTGGAACGCAGTGACACGATCTAGGCTCACCGCAACCTCTGCCTACACCTCCCAGGCTCAAGTAATGCTCTCACCTCAGCCTCCCAAATAGTTGGGGCTGCAAGTAAACACCACCACGCCCGGCTTTTTTTTTTTTTTTTTTTTTTTTTTTTTTTGAGACCGAGTCTTGCTCTGTCGCTCAGGCTGGAGTGCAGTGGTACGATCTCGGCTCATTGCAACTTCCACCTCCCTGGTTCAAGCAATTCCCCTGCCTCAGCCTCTGGAGCACCTAGGATTACAGGCGCACGCCAACCACCACACCCGGCTCATTTTTTTGTAATTTTAGTAGAGACGGGGCTTCACCACGTTGGCCAGACTGGTCTGGAACTCCTGACCTCAAGCAATCCACCCTCCTCGGCCTCCGAAAATGCTGGGATTACCGGCGTGAACCACCGCGCCCGGCCCACGCCAGGCTAATTTTTGTATTTTTGTATTTTTGGTAGAGACGGGGTCTCGCCATGTCGCCCGGGCAGGTCTCTCACTCCTGGGCTGAAGCAATGGTCCCCTCTCAGCCTCCCAAAGTGCTAGATTATAGGCCTGAGGCACCGTGCTGGGCCACTCTCTCACCATCTTGGCAAATGCAGGCCACGAGCGCGCGTGTCCCCGGCCTGCCTGGGGGCAGGAGCTTCCGCCAGCCAGCTCCGCGCACGTGGATGCGCACGTGGAGAGCGGGCAGGAAGAGGGTGCCACGTGAGGGCTAACAGGAAGCGGGTGCCACGTGAGGGCTAACAGGAAGAGGGTGCGCACGTGGCCGCCCCTGGGCGGCCGTGGGAGGGCCCCTTGGGTTGGAGCCGGAACTCAATCCCCAGAACCGGATCTTTAGCAACGTTGGCGGCCCCTGGAGTTACGTACGCAGCTCTTGGGGTCCTCCCACCGCGCCGCCTGGGGAGCCTGCTCCTGCTTTCTTTCCCGGCTAGCCGGCCCCGTCCTCCCAGGCCGTGCGAATTCCAGCCACCCTCCCTCGCCCCTGGCCCCGGAGCCCTGCCCTTCCCGCCCTCCGTGGCCAAGGCTGCCAGGTGCGGGCCTCGCTCCACAACTCAGGAGGCAGGATCGGCGGCTCCATTTTACAGGTGAGGAAACTGAGGCCGAGGAACCGCAGGGGCCCGTGGTGGGCGCTCAGAGAGCCCTCGACTTCCCTGGGACTCCCGGCTGGTCCAGGCCCTGCGGGTCGGCCCCAGCGTCCGCCGGGCTGCTCTGTCGCTTTTCAGGTTCCTGCAACCCCGCGTGGCTCAGGTTCCACGTGAGCCGGGCCCTGCTCTCCACAGGCCGGCCTTGGTGGGGTGGAACTTTCCTTCGATTGATTTGAGAACTGGTGTATGCTTTGGTTGATGTGGTCTGTTTTGTTTTGATTTTTAATGTTCCCCAGAGTGCAAAGGGCAGCTGGTGTTTTCTTTCCAGAAAGGCTTTCTAAAGTTCCCGGCCCCTGCCCAGTTTGATGGATGTGGAGTTTATGACGCTGGAGACCGTTTTACTTTTTTTTGTGTGGGTAGAACTCATCTCCTTTCATCTTTCGAATTGTGAGCTCAGTCCTTCCTGACCGGAGCCGCTGCCCTCGCCAGCATTCCCAGGCTATTAAATATTTGTTTAAAAGGATGGATTTAAAACTTGATGTTAGGAATAAGGCATCTTGAAAAAGCAGTATTCGCAAAAACAGCACCGTTGTAATAGTCTGAATTCATTTTGGCTCTTTTGACATCAGAGCCCAAAGCATGTGGGATTCCGTAATTATTTGGCCTCATGGCTACACTTTAAAACAAATTATTTTATTTTTCTTTTAGTCAGGAAAGTAAAAGAGCAAAAAAAAAAAAAAAAAAAAACCATGTTGAAATCTCACTGCGAGGCCGCGAGGGAGGATGAGGGAGGCGGGGAGGGCGGCTGAACGCTAAAGGCTGGGGCTGGGGTTTGCAGGACTTGGGGAGACAGGAGCCCAGGCGGAGGGATGTGCTGGACAGAGGGGTCGCCATCTGTGGGCTGCATTGTAGAATGAACATGGCCAAGGCAAGGAGTTGAGCAACAAGATATATTTAAGTCCTGAACCTGGAAAGAATGTGAGATGGAGGAGGAACAGGTCCTGGCTGGCGGGTACTGGGCCCCAGGAGGGAAAGAGAGGACAAAGTAAAGTTCAGATGCTAACGCTATCCCCTGTTTGACTGGGGGGCCTTCACATCCCCTCCCACGCTGTCAGGACACGTCCTGTAGGCACTGGAGCAGGTCACACCAACCAGAATGATGGGTTTCCATCCATTCCGGGATGCATTTTTGCTCGCATTTTAACAGCTCTGAAGTTGGGCTGGGTCCCACAGTTTGTGTCTTTTTTTGTGTCATGGTTCACTTGACAAGTTTTTGTCAGTGGCACAGAAAGTCACAGTGCCTTAAACCCAGCAGCATCTTAGGGGTGATGAAGGAGTCAGCCATGGCCCGAGTCCAGTAACTGCAGGCAGGACCCAGAGTGGGAGACGCCTCAGCCTGCATCCTTGTGTTGTTGAGGTCTTGGTCTTTGAAAGTGCTTGTTTCAAGGCATGTGAGGGAGGGAGGGGATTGGCAAAAGCCTGAAACAACAGAGACACAAATGAAAACCGTGTTACTTTGTGGTTGGGAAAGAGAAGACACAGCTGGCCGCTGCTTCTCCCTTCCAGGTGAAATTGGAATGCTGTATAACCACTGGTAGATAGCACCTTTGAGTGAAAGGTGTTTTGCAGCAGCTAGAATCAGCTGCCCACTGAGCAGGCAGCCCTGGCCCAAGAGCCTGCTGGGCAGCCAGCCAGTCTGAATACACTGATTGGGCCAGTGAGCCCCAGGCTTTATCATCCCCTGGAGTGTTAGTGAGCCCTGGGTCTATCCCATGACAGAAACGTCCTGCTGCCAGTAAGCTCCTCTGGGGCAGAGACCGCCTTTTCCCCATCCTTGAGGTCCCAGTGCTCAGCATAGTGCCTGACACATAGGAGATGCTAAATTGGGGTTTGTTGAGCGGGAACTGTATTGAACAGGTGGGGCAAATTGTCTTCCTGGTGGCGGAGTGAAAGTTTTCATGTACCACTTCGGCCGGGTGCAGTGGCTCACACCTGTAATCCCAGCACTTTGGGAGGCCGAAGCGGGTGGACCATGAGGTCAGGAGATGAAGATCAGCCTGGCCAACATGGTGAAACCCCATCGCTACTAAAAATACAAAAAATTAGCTGGGCGCGGTGGCACGTGCCTGTAATCTGAGCTTCTCTGGAGGCCTAGGCAGGAGAATCGCTTGAACCCGGGAGGCAGAGGTTGCAGTGAACCGAGATCATGCCTTTGCACTCTAGCCTGGACAATAAGTGAAGCTGTCTTGGAAAAAAAAAAGAATATTCATAGCAGATTTATTCATAATACCTTGAAATGAAGTAACCCAAATGCTCATCAACAGCAAAATGGATAGGGGGGCCGAGCAAGATGGCCGAATAGGAGCAGCTCCAGTCTCCAACTCCCAGCGCGAGCGACACAGAAGACCGGTGATTTCTGCATTTTCAACTGAGGTACTGGGTTCATCTCACTGGGGAGTGCCGGACGATCGGTGCTGTCAGCTGCTGCAGCCCGACCAGCGAGAGCTGAAGCAGGGCGAGGCATTGCCTCACCTGGGAAGCGCAAGGGGGAAGGGAGTCCCTTTTCCTAGCCAGGGGAACTGAGACACACAACACCTGGAAAATCGGGTAACTCCCACCCCAATACTGCGCTTTAAGCAAACAGGCACACCAGGAGATCATATCCCACACCTGGCCGGGAGGGTCCCACACCCACGGAGCCTCCCTCATTGCTAGCGCAGCAGTCTGTGATCTACCGGCAAGGCAGCAGCGAGGCTGGGGGAGGGGCGCCCGCCATTGCTGAGGCTTAAGTAGGTAAACAAAGCTGCTGGGAAGCTCGAACTGGGTGGAGCTCACAGCAGCTCAAGGAAACCTGCCTGTCTCTGTAGACTCCACCTCTGGGGACAGGGCACAGTAAAGTAAACAAACGCAGCAGACACCTCTGCAGACGCAAACTCTGTCTGACAGCTTTGAAGAGAGCAGTGGATCTCCCAACACGGAGGTTGAGATCTGAGAAGGGACAGACTCCCTGCTCAAGTGGGTCCCTGATCCCTGAGTAGCCTAACTGGGAGACATCCCCCACTAGGGGCAGTCTGACACCCCACACCTCACAGGGAGGAGTACACCCCTGAGAGGAAGCTTCCAAAGCAAGAATCAGACAGGTACACTCGCTGTTCAGAAATATTCTATCTTCTGCAGCCTTTGCTGCTGATACCCAGGCAAACAGGGTCTGGAGTGGACCTCAAGAATCTCCAACAGACCTACAGCTGAGGGTCCTGACTGTTAGAAGGAAAACTATCAAACAGGAAGGACACCTACACCAAAACCCCATCAGTACATCACCATCATCAAAGACCAGAGGCAGATAAAACCACAAAGATGGGGAAAAAGCAGGGCAGAAAAGCTGGAAATTCAAAAAATAAGAGCGCATCTCCCCCGGCAAAGGAGCGCAGCTCATCGCCAGCAACGGATCAAAGCTGGACGGAGAATGACTTTGACGAGATGAGAGAAGAAGGCTTCAGTCCATCAAATTTCTCAGAGCTAAAGGAGGAATTACGTACCCAGTGCAAAGAAACTAAAAATCTCGAAAAAAAAAGTGGAAGAATTGATGGCTAGAGTAATTAATGCAGAGAAGGTCCTAAACGAAATGAAAGAGATGAAAACCATGACACGAGAAATACGTGACAAATGCACAAGCTTCAGTAACCGACTCGATCAACTGGAAGAAAGAGTATCAGCGATTGAGGATCAAATGAATGAAATGAAGCGAGAAGAGAAACCAAAAGAACAAAGAAGAAAAAGAAATGAACAAAGCCTGCAAGAAGTATGGGATTATGTAAAAAGACCAAATCTACGTCTGATTGTGGTGCCTGTAAGTGAGGGGGAAAATGGAACCAAGTTGGAAAACACTCTTCAGGATATCATCCAGGAGAACTTCCCCAACCTAGTAGGGCAGGCCAACATTCAAATCCAGGAAATACAGAGAATGCCACAAAGATACTCCTCGAGAAGAGCAACTCCAAGACACATAATTGCCAGATTCACCAAAGTTGAAATGAAGGAAAAAATCTTAAGGGCAGCCAGAGAGAAAGGTCAGGTTACCCACAAAGGGAAGCCCATCAACTAACAGCAGATCTCTCAGCAGAAACTCTACAAGCCAGAAGAGAGAGTGGGGGCCAATATTCAACATTCTTAAGGGAAAAGAATTTTAAACCCAGAGTTTCATATCCAGCCCAAACTAAGTTTCATAAGTGAAGGAGAAATAAATCCTTTACAGATAAGCACATGCTTAGAGATTTTGTCACCACTAGGCCTGCCTTACAAGAGACCCTGAAGGAAGCACTAAACATGGAAAGGAACAACTGGTACCAGCCATTGCAAAAACATGCCAAAATGTAAAGACCATTGAGGCTAGGAAGAAACTGCATCAACTAACGAGCAAAATAACCAGTTAATATCATAATGGCAGGATCAAGTTCACACATAACAATATTAACCTTAAATGTAAATGGACTAAATGCTCCAATTAAAAGACACAGACTGGCAAACTGGATAAAGAGTCAAGACCCATCAGTCTGCTGTATTCAGGAGACCCATCTCACACGCAGAGACATACATAGGCTCAAAATAAAGGGATGGAGGAAGATTTACCAAGCAAATGGAGAACAAAAAAAAGCAGGGGTTGCAATACTAGTCTCTGATAAAACAGACTTTAAACCATCAAAGATCAAAAGAGACAAAGAAGGCCATTACATAATGGTAAAGGGATCAATTCAACAGGAAGAGCTAACTATCCTAAATATATATGCACCCAATACAGGAGCACCCAGATTCATAAAGCAAGTCCTTAGAGACTTACAAAGAGACTTAGACTCCCATACAATAATAATGGGAGACTTCAACACTCCACTGTCAACATTAGACAGATCAACGAGACAGAAAGTTAACAAGGATATCCAGGATTTGAACTCATCTCTGCAGCAAGCAGACCTAATAGACATCTATAGAACTCTCCACCCCAA